TCATTTACATTTTTTGTCGTGCTTTAGTCACTCGATTGATCTGATATCCGTCGAACAAGATCGATCTATACAGCTATGAGTGATTAAAACTTTATTGGAATAGATGTCTCCAGATTCACAGCGAAATAAGTATGAAGGAAATTATTGATACGATGATCTGAAAAAAATGCGGCAAGCAATAAAATCAGACACGAATATTAACGTTCTCTACAAGAAGCTCTAAAAGTTTACTTTAGTATTTTCTGGTTTTTATCTGCAATTTTTACTTGACACAATCATAGAAGTTCTGTTGCAAAGCGTTTCCTATAAAGAATGTTGATAGAAATTCAATACAAGACTTATTTGAATTCGTTTTCTTATTTCGAATGTATATATCCAAGTTTTCCAGAAAAATTTGACATTGCATTTGTATCCTTGACTTTCTATCTTGTGCATAAAGCTAAAGAGAAAAATGTAGAAATGGTTAAGTTTCCGTATATATTATACTAATCTATGGGATATCATATGAAGAATACACCGCTTCCTGTTCGTTGATTAGCATGAATGCACCGACAAAGAAACGATGCAATTAAAGATAAAAAACGCTTCACGAATTGTGACACGATTTCCAGAAATATATTGCGCTTGAATATGACTTGCTTCATTGCTGATCATCTTTGTTCAAATCTTTTAGTAAACCCTTTTTTCCAGACAAAGAGAATAATTAAGTCAGCTTGTATCTGTATTCAAAATGATACAACACTCAACCTATGACAAGTAGAGAACAATGCAACAATATACCTATTATCTTGCTGAAGCAATAACATCATAAGATGATAATATATGTAAGAAAACAAGACACAAAAGATAACGTTGGTGGCTGTGTCTGCAATGTTAAATGTCTGACATATCCGTAGTTTTCCTACAAATACATTGTAATCTTAAAATATAATTTTGATAGAAACTCTACACACAAAATACGAACTTGACATGCTATCATATGCCGTGAAGTAGTACATTATCGATTTACAATTATTATTATTGTTTGCATCTTGTTTAGCTGCGACAATAAACATTGTTCTTGTCGAGTCAATAGATGAAGTTGTACGTCTCGTCTAGTCTTTATTACATTTTCATTGTATGATCAGTTTCACGTACCCTTTTTTTTCTTCTTTCTATTCAATTTTTTCTCATCCTCATTCTCATTCAATAGCATCAATGATTACATTATTAAGTATAAATCTATTTTTTGTATTTATAATAAGTTACTCATATCTATTCTTCTTTTCTTTCGTTTGTTTTTAATCTATTCATTCTTTTATTTTTTTTCATGTCACATTTGTTTCTTTATGACTACTATATTTTGTAATGCATACTGATTTTTATTGATATTTATTACAAAAAAAGAAACCTTATCATTTTCAGATAAAGCATTCCCTATTTCAAAATATTTCTATTTCGATTGTGTATTAAAAAGCCTAAAAATTTTACAACGATATGATGATGTAATCTGGCAACCACTTTTACCTTTCAAACACAAGTTATTCAAACAGTATTTGAATCACTACAGCTGTAGACATGCTAAAAAAAACTTTGATAGTTATGTTCTAAAAAGAAGAAACTTATAATTATAAGTGTTGATTATAAGTTTATATACGTTACTTCATGCGAGCTATTATCAAAGAGAATCGTATTTGAGAATATTATTTGAAAAATTATTGAAGCCTAGTTGTAATACACTGCTAAACAACATGATTTGTAGAGTTTGATTTTATGCCAATTAGATAGTGTTTCATATAAAACCAAGAAAAATTATTTATGAATTTTAGAATATTGTTTCATGTTTTGAAATAAAAATTACAAAAAAAAAATTGCACAAAAAAAAGCTAACTGTTAAAAGCGATATATATGTTTACAGTGTTAACTGTTCTAGATATTAACAAAAACAAATATAGCCATTGGAATATTATTAAAATTGTAGTTTATTTTTTTGCCCATTATTTTCTATATTTAGATTCCAAAGTTTTATTAACAATTATTTGTTAAAGAAAAAAATAAGATTTAACGCTACATGAAACAAGAGATTTCTTTTCAATTTGTTCAATATTTTTGTTTATTTTCTTTTTTGAATTACTATCCGATGAGTTGTGCTCTTAGAATAACTAAAGTTGAATTAAATACAAAAATTAATGTATTTGCCAATTATTCAAATAATGATTCATGGTATCATACAAGATCAAATGAAATAAATACATATATATAATGAATCTACTGAAATTATCAAAAAAAATACAATACAAATATTCAAGTAAATTAACAAGAACGTGCCTTTCTTTCGTAGTCCTCTTCGCTGAATAATCCTATACCTATTAAACGACTAGTTGAACTTTTAAATAAAGAGAGAATGAGTCTTAATTTTCTTTCTTCCTGTAGATCAGTCATGCGTATGGCAGCAAGATAAAACAATAGAAAATGTGTTTTTTTTACTGTTTAGTACTCTGTGCCGAACGGAAAGAAGTGTGGTAAATTTCGTTTTTTACTTCTATTCTTTACTCAATGCTCTTGCTTTTTATTTTTCTACATAGTCGGAAATACAAAACTGTGACAACGATTCACTACATTCAACTAAATTTTGTCATCAAAATAATTAAGATTTCATGACCTTCAAAATCATTACATGCTGTTGCATACAGAAATATTTACCTTTATTAAGTTCACTGATTTTTTTTTTCTTATATTTTTTTATACTAACGCTGTTGTAACAACAATTGCTGATCGTATTGCACCTTATTATCGACCAGCATTACCTGATATTGATCATAAACTATTATCTTATTGGAGTTATTTTCAAATAAATAATTATTTGATTATTATTGCTTATATATTTATATTTGTAAGATTTTTACCTCAATCAGACATTCGTGTTACTGTTTTTCGTCGTTGGTTTTTTTTACAAGATGTTATGTTTGGCATGTGCAGTATTTCTATTTATGTGAGTTCACTTACTGTATCACAGTCGGGTTGTATCACTAATATAACAGAATTAGCAACACCACCTGTCGAAGCTTTTTATGTTATGGTTGGAATACGTTCGACATGTGAAGATGTACTTTTTTCAGGTCATACAGTGGCATGTAAGAATTTATTTCTAGGAAATTCAACGTCAAGTGAATCTATTTTGTCTTTTTTCTATTCAAGTAGGGTGTGGGTTGAATTCAAAAAAGATCTACATCCACATCCCATGGATGAATACTGTCTTATCTTATCTTGTTATTTCTTAAAGAAGAACTATGCGAAAGATATATTTCGTGATCATGTGAGACTGCCTAGATGATGAGGAGAGTGACTACAGATCATTCTCTCTGTTTGCAGTATCAACAAGAGAGAGAGAGAACTAATAGATAACAACATCATAAAGAATAGAGAAACCAAAAGAAGTTACACCCAGCAGGGATATGAGGGTATGCAAACCAATCGAAAGCAGATTCATTTATTTTTTTCACGAAAAGACAAGTTCAATTCTCTAATATCAGCTTTTAATTTTCAGTGGTTGACTAAATCGAAAATTTAATAATCATAGAATGATAAATGAGTATGTTTTGCTGAAAAAATCAAGCAAATACAGAGTTCAATTCCATGACGTATTTTATATTATTTATTAAAATACAAGTACACATTAGGACGCCACATTACAAGATTAAACACAAACAATGAAAATATTTACTCATAGGAAAACAAAGACAGAAACAAAAAGGAAGATAAATCATTTACATAACAGTAGCAGCAGAAAGAAAGCAAAAACAGCATTCATCTCGAAACAGCTTGTTCGGTAGACGATTGAATCAACTAGCTTTTATCAGTTGAATAATATTTTATAGATATGGCTTTTTTCTGATAAAACTGGTTGAGAGTAAATTTGCTCCTTCTTATCGAACTAATCAACCGGTGTTGCTTTGACAGCTGGTTTATTTTCTTCTGTTCGTGCATTATTGTTTCAATAGATATAGACGATTGGAATATGAGTTTTTTTTCTGGATACTTGTAAAACTTAAGCGCAAAAAAAGAAAATAAATGTTTTTGTCATCATTTCCTTCAATTAATTAATAATAGTCCAGCAATTCAACTACTTTGTCTAAAATTCGAACCAACCGGACCGAATACTTTAAAAATTCTCGACCGGTTACAATCCTGAGGTAATATCATGACTTGAACAAATTTTGTGTACTTGCCGATTTTTATCGATCTGGAAATATTATTACACCGAACCGATTTAAAATTTCTTGACTGGTTACAACTCTGCTACACTCACACCCAATGTAAAAATTTAGTCGAAGCTCTTTATCTTTATCATCTTCAATAATTTTTTGCTTTTTAATTGTCGTATATACAACTTATTGTTTTAGATTATTTATGTTCAATACTTATATCGGCTTCGCGATTTGAACTTCTGCTTCGAATAAACACGATCCTGTTAAAAAGTTTGTTAATCTACTTGTATTTTTATATTTCCATGAAAAATATGATTAAAAAGAATTTTATTATTCATAGTCCTTCATTCAATGGACACTTGAATGTACTAAGAAACTTAATTCTGAAATATGAGAATCATTTTGATTTTCATCTTATTATTACTGGCTGGAAAAATACTCAACCAGATTTAATATTCCATCTAGTATTGTTGCATGCTCTGATTTTCATGAAACTGATCCTGCAATTTGAACATTACTACGACTTGTTGAATTAATAGATGGCTGTCAAGATATAGCCAAAACATTTAAACCAAGTTTTAATAATTTATGATTTTTTTTCATTAGAAGGAAACTTGGCAGGGAAAAAATTGAAAATTCCTTATTATTTTTCTATTCCAATTTTAATTGATCCATTTACACAACAAGAATATCTTAAGAGAAAATTACAATTACCAAATTAATATTAAAGCTATGAGTTTTTTACAAGAAAGATTTCCAGAAATTTTAAATACAGAAGATATTGAAATGATTTCTGATGGACTACATATTAGAAAGGACAGCAAAATATTCATCACTCACTTCAAAAGACTTTATGCTTAATCGTAAAGAATTGCCGTATATATTTTTGTGCGTCATTTACATAGAGCACTAACCAATAATAATTTCAAGGATTCAAAAAAGTCACTCATTTATTTTTCACTCGGTACTGCTGTAATGAGTAATCTCTGAAATCAACAAGTTGAGGTTCGAAAATAATTAAAAAATATTTATTCATACACTAACTAAATTATGGGAAGATAAAAATTCTAACATTCTGTTTGTTAATCTTGCAAAAGAAACTGTCAATCAATATTCTTCAAATTGGCAAGTAGTATGAATATGCTGATCAAGTTGATTGTCCTGTCACAAGCTTCTGTGTTTATTACTCATGTTGGAGATAATAGTTTTCACGAAGCCGTTATTGCACA